GGTATTATTTTGTTGGATAGTTCTGAAATGTTCTAGATTTCTTGATAATGCAGGGAAAATGGACGTGAGAAAAAATGGAAGCAGATTGCAATTGAAGTATCCTTTCAGATATCTGTTGCTTCAACACTTAATATAGAGTTCAGGAAGGGCATTCGGTTATCTTCCTGTTGTTGGAGATGAGTTTGGAGGAGCGAGAGGAGGAGGCTATGATCCCAATGGAAGTCATGCGGTGAGGACTTTTTTTATTGGTCAACAGCTTTGGGGGAACCTGGAAAAGTTGAGGGGGGGGGGGTGGTGGAAGTCGTTCTTTTTTTTGTCCCTGTCCACGCATTTTGGCTTGGGGCGCGCACATCGCCCGGGCACCTCAGCCAAGCAACCTGGAAGCTCCCACCCATCAATTCGTTCCCTCCATCCCGCCGCAGCACGCTTTGTCCTCCACCATGCGTTGGAGGCTGGCACGCCGGAGACACCACCACCAGAAAGAAGTAAGGTGGCCGGACTGTCCTATGGCTTTCTCAGCCTGGGCTGTTGAAAGATTGACTCCTCACTCAATCGATACTCAATGCCCTGTTCTGTTGATTTTACGTGTCTCCGGGTCACCTAGCGCGAGCCATGGCCACCTCCATGCCTGAGGGGGAGGGGGCAGGAAACACTGGAGGGAGGCGCACACCAAGGAGCAACCTGAAAGCAGCGACATGTCCGAGTAAGAAAGCCCGGATCGCAGGGATTCCCAACGATTCAAAAGCCCCAACCCAAGCCCTTTTTTTTTTGTCTCGCTCGAAACGGAGCATGTTTTTGTTATTTACAGTGCGCACTGTATGCGGTCGGTCGGTCCTCCATATTTCCTTATATATTGCCGCTAAAGAGTTTAGGGAAATGGCTGCAACAACCAGGTGCCATCCTCTCCCTCCGGCGTCTCCACTGGCGATCAGTGATTGATGATAGAAAAAAAAAAGGGGGCAATCGTGGTCCTCTTTTTCCCTCATCAAGTTCCATCTCAGTAATGGCTGACGAATAGCGGTATGTACGGGTTGCCGACAACCCCTCGGCCCTCCTCTTTTCAGCACCGGGTCGGTCCATGTCATCATCGTTGCCATCAGAGTGTCCGTCATGATGCAACAGACTAAACAAAGTCCAGACGACAACAGCCCGAGGGAGGGGGAGGCATCCAGACGCGCGTGATTATTCTTGTACCGTGTGCATTCATCTATCAATCTCTTTCCTGTCTTGGCTCTTTGCCCTGCCCTTGCTCGGCTGCCGCCTGTGTGACTGGCTGACGTACTGAGAAATGTTCCACCGTTCAATCATACCACTCACTGATTGAGAGTGCGAAACTGTGTTGGGTTTTCTGGAACCCTGGCTTTTGGGGAGCCAGAAGAGAGAAAAAGGAGGGAAGGGGTGTGGATGTCCGCCGAGATTTTTCTATGTATCTGGCCGTTTGAGCCGAAGAATCCTACACGCTTGGATTTGTTTCTGCAACACTGAAAGCAACAGGAATGGAATCATGCCGCACAGTGCGCCAGTCTGAGTCTGAGGGGTCTACACACTTGCCTGGTGCGCCTTGGGCCCAGCCCGGTACGAGTGGTAAAAAGAGAGATAGATCATAGGACTAAGCAGGCGGCTGCATAAAGCCCGAATGCACCATCCATTCCGCAAACACCACTTGTGACTCGGAGACATTGATCAAGGGACTCCATGATGGTGATGGCTGATGATCAAACCCCTGTCGACCTCCTCTCGGCAAGACACCGTCTCCTGCCATCGGCCACACCAAAAAGGTGGTCAAGTGGTTATGGTAGAACAGCGCGGGGACCTCCCCAAACGTGGTTTATTATAGGCAAAGCCCCTCGAAACGGATGGTTCCAAAAACCCGTGGCGCCCACATAGACTCTCGCATTCTTGTGGCATCTGGCATCTGGCTGACTCGTAATGCCTTGAGCCACTGTCCTATCCTCATCAGTGTCATCGTGTCTTGAAGCAGGCTCTGATGACATGTCGACAAGCGCCAAACCGGAATCTGGGCGCCCTTTTTTTTGGCGGTTCAGGGTTGGATCGGACTCCTGGCAAGCCTGGAACCTGGGGAGTGGAGTGGAGTGGCTTTATCCGTATTTCCACTCAGCAGAGCATGACGGTGCAGGTAAGAGCCTTGATAAGAGCGCTGGCAAACCGGGAGAAGGGTACCAGACAGAGAGTCTCACGGCATCGTCTTTCCCCTATCAAAGGGCCAAGCGACCAATCCTCCTCCAGGGGGGTGGGTGGGTGGGTTGGGACCCTTTTGTGCTCTGTGTCTGACATGCACACACGCTGCCAACAAATTACAAGGGAGGCACACACAGGATCGGCCGAGTAGGTCAAAAAGTAAGCAACGGTCGTATCAACCCATTCTCGTGTAAAATCGACAAGAGGCGCAAGTCATCGTCGCATCCGTTTCCTACCTTGCCCAGTTCAGCTGCAAACTCCGTCCCCCGGTCTTGTCAAGTGGCTACACCATCAGAACGGAAACGGATGGTGAGGGGTCGTGATAGTCGTTTGCTCTCGGAATATCCGCATCAAACCCCGCCACAGAAAACTTTATCGGAGAGGCGGTTTTTTTTGTTGCCTTTCCCGGAATCTTTGGCTGCGGGAAATCAGAAAGTAAGCCAATAATAGCCTTTACTCAACAGCAAAGGAGCGTCTCCCGAGCTTCGAAAGAAGCAAAGGAAAGGAGCACAATATCCGTGTCGGACACTTTGTACACATAGTGACGCCCATGCCTCGTGGACGGAAGCTCCGGGCGGGGGCTTTCCGGCAACGAATCGTCCGGAGGTCCTCCGGAAGCCAAGCCGCACTTGGGTGTTCCGGGGAGCACAATATGAGGTGGATTTAGTTGGTTGCTGGGGAACTCACCACTGTCAGGGTGCATCACGAAGATGGCCATTTCTGACCCCAGGATTGGTCAGCTGCCTTTGCCTACCAACTCGTGCCCCGAACAAGGCTGGAGCTTGTCGGACGGCCGCAGACGGAGCTGTTTGCGGATCGCTGCGTTTACTTGCTTTCCCATTTGCCTCTTTTTGCGGCCTTGTTGGTGGGACCGACTGTCGTAACCCCCCCTTCTAGGTTCCCCCGCTTCCAAAACTCGCTTCGCAGGCTTTGTCTAATGTAGGCTCGGTGCGGTGCGCCGTGAGGCGGCTGACATGCGAAACTGAACCGATAACAGCAGGTTTGTAGCGCAACGCCCGGTCCGCCAAAAGTCCTCTTGCCTCTCTGTTGCATTGGGGGGTCGTGTGTGTTCCGAGGAGCACCTCAGTCCTGCCGTCCGCCCAGTCAGCGGGGTGGGAGTGCCTCTGCTATTTTTCGCACTTGCTGCAGCCGAACTGTCAGAAACTCAAGGAGCTAGATGGATGCGTCTCCATGGGTGCGGAGCATGCCGCCCGAGCGAGTGGTTCATTGGGGGGTTCTGTTGAGCTTCGCTCTTCTGACCGGGAAGCATATTGCACCACATAAATTTGCAGATCGAGGTTACCGCTCTGGAACTAATATCACATGTTGCCGCCTTCCCACCTCACTGGGGGGGAAATCAACTAACGCGAGAATGGCGTTCCCCACTTGTCAGCGCGTGTGTCTTCCGCGTCAAAGCCCCACCTCCGTTCTTCGCACTGGCCAGTTTGATGAGCCAAGCAGGCCCATACGGCCGTGTCCGGAACACAGGATCGGGATCCCTCGGCGCCCACACAGCCCCCCCCAACTTGCACACACCACAACGTCATATCCCTTGATCATCTCTCTCCGCCAACTTGGTTTGAACTGCAAGGGAACTAATAGGCAGTAGTCCTTGTTGTGTTCCATATTCCCGTTTCTTGCATATTCTGTGTCTGTTTTGTCTGGGACCACTTGATGCCGCAAGGGCCTTGCGGCGTCACTATACGTACACCTGTGGCATTTTGTAAGAGTCGAGTAGGTCAAGAAAGATTTGGGCTGATGAAACATTGAATAAAAGATGTTTTGCATCAGCTTCCATGATTGGAAATAGCTAGATCAAACATTAAGAACAATACAAACGGCTGCCTTTCCAGAAGGACCATAATCGAGAGGTAGCCTCATGGTTGCTGGCTGGTTTGATGGGGAGTAAATGAACAGCATGACTAAAACTGCAGGTTTGAATCAAAATCTGGCTGAACTCAATATCCTGTAGGTCATGTGGAAAAGTGATGATGTTCAGCAGAAATCCCATCAAAGAGCGTGTGCAGACAGAAGATAATAGCGAAGTAGGTAGGTAGTCGTCCGCCGATTTTCCAATGGACTGAAGGGCCAGGTATAAACTGGTATGCCTTACCGAGCCTAGATAGAGAAATGTACTACTTGCTTTGACCTGACACCTTGAAGTGGCAGCACTTGTACAGAATTATATCCATAATACGCTATGTAACTAGCTACCTGCCCACGAAATTATGCCTACCGATCTGGACTGATTCTCGGATTATGGGCAACACTGTCACTGTGTTTGATTTCAACGCCCCCTTTTTCCTTGAAAGGATCCTGGAGCTTTTGGGGTTGTGCTGCACAACTTAGTGGGTAGTTGATGATAGTCTCGCGGCGCATGATAAGCCACTACATTGACCAGGTAGATCAACATCTGTATCGATCACTAGCCCAACAACTAGGTACTGGAGTGGAAGTAACAAGACAAAATCTCAGCAACAGAACCAAGCCAGACTGCTGATATTCAGGGTCTCAGCAAGCGGTGGCAAATGTCTGTCCCCTCCCGTTCGAGATGCAGGCACACAAGCTTCCAAAGAGCGCACTATCCAATCGATCTATCAACAACATGGCATGTCGTTGTCAACACAAGCACCAAGTGTCTCGGCAAGTATCCATCACACCACCCGAAGCAGAACATTTCCCGATGAGCAAAGGTTAGGTAGATCTAGATCCGATTCGAACCGCCAACTGGCATCTAGCAGGCCAAATATAGCCACCAGAATGTTTCCAGAATTCGACAACCGGGTAGTTGTTATCCGGGGAGCATTTTCAGTCTGAAGGAAGCACACCTAGCCTGCTTCCGCACAACAAAGCCTCACTTTAACACCTCCTTTTTACCTGTATTAATCCATTGACGGTCTGGAAAGAAGGGCGGTCTGAAAACGCACAGAAATATCCATCTGGAAAAGCCGCTCCTGTCATGTAGGAGATCAAGCCAAGACACAGATAATGGCGTGTATGCGGCTCGTACCCTTGTGGCGAATGGCCAAACCGCCCCTACTACGTGTAAACCCATCCATCAATCGATTTGAAATTCCCTCCCCGCACAAAAAACATGGCCTTCAGGGTTAAGCCTCCTAGACCGGGTAACGTCCAAGTCGGTCTCATTGGGCAACACATCGGAGATAGGCTGTGGCTTTTGCATCAAAACATTCGATGGAAGCTGTCAGCTTCAATAGGCCGCTGGCGACATTACTAGGTAGGCCACATAGTCCAGAGTTATTTGCTTCGATGTAACTCAGACCGACAAGAATTGCCCATCCGTTGTTGTTTACCTTGATTTCACCTACCATACATGCAGGAGCGGAGGCAAAACCCAAACACTCGCCCTTAGCCGTTGGAGGCACTTATGCTTCGGACAGCGTATGAGGCGGCAGACGGAAGCACAGCATGATGATCTGAGATGAAAGTGAACATTTGCCCCTTTCCCGATCCGATCACAACTTCTGGCGAACGTTTCAGAAAACTTGTTTACATATCAGGGACAACAACAGACAGTAAATAGCGGGTCTTCCGGCCAACAACTCGACTCTGCCGTACGATACTGTGCTGCAGTTGCCTGACCCGAACGTTTGGGACGCAGACTGGGCTTCTGCTGACGAGTGGGTGGGACCTACACTGGTGCTATTTCCCACCTTGGCTGCCTCCAGCCTTGCTAGCGTTGGGGGCAATGCTCTGTTGAGCATAGAACTACGTGTTGCTGTTGAGGCTCTGCGTTTGAGTACCAACATCAATTGATACCCAAGGCCCCGTCTGCCGAGTATAAGCGAGCCATCGTCAGGCTCGGTGGACACGAGACAGATGAGGCTCAGTCTCCCTCACCTTTGACAACATTTCCCTCATCCAGCTCGAATATGGATGCCATGGCTTTGGCCTACCTGGCCAGTCCTGTGCCCAAAGCTGACGCAAACGTGGAAAGATTTGCCCCTGTCGCTCAAGCAAAG